TAATAAACATAGACTATATCATGGCCAGATGGTGCATTTATAGAGTGTAGTCTAATAAGTTATAACAAAAACACATAAATAGACCGCTACCCCCACTCGTGGATCAAAAAATCGATTACTTTTTACGTTGCATTTGAATTCGAGGGTCGAAGCACGTCGTTACATTCAAATGCGAGGTATCTATATATTCATTTGGAGCATCAACATAAGCCGGTCATATTATTATTTTATTCATTGCGTTGAGCAAAGAATTTATTTATTTTTAAAAAAATTACACATACAAAGGGAAATTATCCACGAATTTAATAAATTTAATAAAAGAGCCTTTGGAAAGAAAAATCCTCATGTGAATCAAAAGTTATTTACAAATTTCGATTGTTAAAAAAATCAAATAAGCTTTTTTTCCCCAATTAAAAAAAAAAGATCTTTTTGTCCTGATCTTTCCTCGTATTTATTTATTTATCACAGATTAAAGGTCAATCGGATCGATTAGATTTATCTCTATGGAAGAATAAACTTCATGCAAACATCACAAATTTCGATTGTTAAAAAAAATCAACTAAACTTTTTTTTTTTAATTTTTAAAAAAAAATCCTTTACAAAAATTAATCAATGAATTTTATTTGTTTTCTACAAAGGGAATTAAAATAAAAATTTCCTACCCAGATCATCTACTATCTCTCAAATGATAGATAACGAACGATAGACAGCAAAAAAAATCTAAAGCGAAACATGATTTTCTTTCGGTCAAAGTATCTGCTTCGCTCAACCCTGATTTTTTGAACAAAATAGATAAAAATGGGAATTCGCATGATAATTTATAATTTTTGGAAAACGAAATATGTGCAGCAAAAAAAAAAGAAAAAACAACTTGTTACTAAGTTTTACACCTTGATTTTGATCTCACCCTTCCCCAACAATTCAGTTGAGCAACAAAATCTTTAGGAGATTCGTGATTCGTCACCGTAACTGCACTGAATTTACCGTTTCGAGTCTTAACCAAACATTTCAAATTTGGTGAAATTAAAATCTACATTTCATTTAGAAATAATAATAGTAACACGAGAACCTTTCTTTATATTAAAATTTAATATGTTAAAAAGGAAATAATGTGACTGTTATTCTCAAAAAAAACCCCCTCACTCTTATTCATTAAAACATCAAGTCAAATTTTATATTTTATATTTTTATATAATGTCAGATGCTAAATTATTATCATCGTTATCACCAGAAAGAGAGGGATTTTTAGATAAAATTTATAACGAAATATATCATAATGCAGCAGTTAATTCTGATATTGAAAGTAGAAAAGATTATTTTTTTTCATTGGTCAAGAAAAACAAGGAGCTTTCTGAAAATGAAATAGAATATTGTAAAGAACAGTTTATTTATGAGTTTGAATTAAACAATGCAATGTACAAGTTGGGCAAACCAAAAGAATGTAACAAGTGTAAATTGACAAGATACTCTGTTAGGTTCTGTGAAGGTTGCATTAGTTTACATTTACAGAGTACCACTTTGACATCTGAAAATAACATAATTGATGATTTTATTCGACAATGTCAAATGAAATCATCCCTTCCAGGATTTATTTTAGAATGGATACCTTTTGAACAATTTGAAAAAGTAACAAAGTTGACAAAAGGTGGATTTAGCTCAATTTATACTGCAAAATGGACAAGAGGAGAAATAAATGATTATGATGAAAATAAAAAGGAATTTAGTTATTTTGGAGGGCAGAGAGTAGTATTAAAAAATTTAAACAATTCAATTAATCCAGGAAAAGCCTTTTTTGATGAGGTTGGTAGTTGTCATTTAAAATAATACTGTATTATTATTATGTAATACTAATTGATTTTATATTCAATAGGCAATAAATTATAGTAAAATTAAATCGGTGGTGATTGTTCCTTGCTTTGGTATAACTAAATTTCCAGATAATGGAAATTATGCAATTGTTTTAAATTATGCTCCAGAAGGAAATGTAAGGAATTATTTGCAAAAAAATCATTCAAATTTAGCATTAAAAGACAGAATCACAATCTTTGAATATTTATGCGGTGCATTACATCAAATACACAAAAAAGATTTAATCCATTGTGATTTACATAGTGGTAATTTACTTATGTCAGGAAGTGGTTGTTATATTACAGATTTGGGGTTATGTGGACCAGTTGATGAAAAGTCATCAAATAAAGTCTATGGAATTGTATCATATATTGCACCTGAGCTACTTAGAGGCAATAACACAAAGAATACAAAAGAAACTGATATGTATAGTGTTGGGATGTTAATGTGGGAAATGTTTGCGGGTCATCCACCTTTTGATGATAGAGGTCATGATCATCGTTTGATTTTTGATATATGTGAAGAAGGTTTAAGACCACCAATATTACCTGAAATGCCTGGCGATTATGTACAAATGATGCAGAGGTGTTGGGATGTGGATCCATCAAAAAGACCAACTGCTAGTGAGCTTTATTATTTTGCTATAGATAAACGTAATGAAATTATTAATGATAATAATAGTAATAATACTACTATTACTACTACTACTAGTGCTTTGCAACAAGCATACGAATCACATCCAGATGCATACCATACAAGTAGAATATTAGGTGATGAGATTGCTAAATCTAAAAACTTTAAAAGTTATACAAGTAATCATAGTTCATTAAATATTCTTGATTTTAACAAAGGTGAATAAAAATTTCATTATTAATCAATTGGAAATTACTATCCATCAATCATTACTAACAATATTAATTAATTAATAGACATTAAATTCTAGTAACAATAGTAAAAGAAAAAGTTGATGAATGACTAATTTAATCTCCACTATAAATTTATTCATTATAATTATTTTATTTTTTTATTTTATCCTTATCTTGTTTCTTAAATCATAATAATATTTTGAAATAAATAACTTTTTACAATTTTTTGATTCTTTGTTAAATGATGATGTTGCGAGGTATCATTTCGGTTAATTAACAATTATGGCTTAACTTTTGGGCCATTATTGTTAGTTAATTGCAAACAATTCGATGCTTGTCAATTAATTAGTTTACGAATTTACTTTGATTCTCGATTACCACACCTAGACGAATCTGTGTGCACACCTAGTGGTACCGGATAACTGTAAATAAATAAAGATGTCCCCTTTGCAATGCTATAAATATTGATATTATAAAAATTTCCATACTTACAATAATTTGATAATAATCTTCAAAGTGTAATTTTATCTACCCGATCATGTATCACGTTGTTAATATTAATGCAAGAAATGTTCGAGTGTAGTAGTAAATGAGTGTGTGAAAACTGAATTTGTATTCAGTAAAAGAACTCCTTTGGGAACAACAGATGAGAGACTGGGGTACACAAGAAAAAAATATAAAATAAAAAATTTAAAGACGACCTTTAAATATCTATTTATATGAACTAACCTTTAACTTACGTCAAAGGGTTTTTACTTGCGTCATTTGGCAACAAAATTGACGTAATAATTTTACAATTTTGTTAAGATTTCGTCAAACAACATTAGCCTCATTTAGATAAATTATCAATATTGTAGATTGGAGCTTACGCTGTTCTTTTGTTTGAGTAATATTCATTTGTAATTTTACCTCGAGTTATCGAATTATCGGCTTGCTTTTATTAGCATTTCTCTTCTTTTCTCACAAACATTGTATAGCAATAATGTCTAGTGTATTTTTTATGTAATAGTAAGAGAATTTTTATAAAAATCATTGTCATAATAATCCAAGTTTAATATGGTGATTATATGAAAAATTTAAAGCTTTAAAAAAAAAAACTTGCACAAGAAATATTCTAAAATAAATAAATTGTTGTAATATATATTGAGTACTGTAACAATTTCTTTCGTCTTAATAAGAATTAATATTATTTAAAAAGTTTAGATAAAGAATCTTATGAAAAAGATTACATACTACTAAGAAATTAAGAAGTAATTGGATGGGAAGTCCATAAATAGATACCTTTTTCTTTTGGTATTTTGGTAATGAAGGTGGTAATAATTATGCATGTGTAAATAAAAATATATATTATATATACATATATTACAGATTTACTTGTGACAATGAACCACCAATTCATGTTTTTGATAAGGAAGAAAATTTGTTGTCTTATTATTAATAAATAAGAATTATTTGATCACTCATTTTTTTTTCACTTCTATCATTGCGTTGCTGTCAATTTTGTCGACGCTTTTGTTTTATCAATAAATGAAGATAGCAAACAGTGTTTTATATTTGTCATTTTCGATGAAATAAGTATTAATCTCCTCGAGTTACAAAAAGACTTCTGCTAAGTAGAAATACTGAGACAACAAAGTTGTTCGTAATAGTTACAAATAAAAACCAAAAATATAAATGTTCCATATACTGGAGGCTCTTCTTAAGCATTTTCTCCAAGACTATTACAATAAACGAAATAGGTTGTATAAATAGTATGCCTATATGTATCATCTTCATATTCATAGCAAAAATATCGTCATTTTATGAAATAAGTTGATTGTAAGCACAGCAGATGACGATAAGGATGTAATGACCAAATCCTGAGCGCTATTTGTAAGAATCTGGATAATATGTCACAGTCATGTGATAATATTTAAAAGAGAGAGGGAATAACAAAATATTTATATAAAAGTTAACTACTTGTGACGTCTCATTTATAAATATAAATAGTAGTTGGCATTGAATATTTTAATGTTCATTTATAAAACTTACAATATTATATATAGAGCACGGAAAACCTATTACAGTTTTAATGATTGATCCTTTGACTTTTGCCATTCAAAAATCTGCGATTGCTATAAAGTTAAGTTCAGCTTACCAAAACATAATTATATTTAAAGAGAAATTTGAATGACACACCATGGCCACACCACGTGATTATTATAATCCAGATCTGGACATAAAGGACCGGATTGTTATCGTTCGTGCTTGAAAACGAAGAGTTCGTCACTGGAGATCCAGCTTACGCTAAGTGTCTAAAGAAGAGTTTATTGCTACTGGACTATTCGTTCATTAAGATTTCTATCCTAATAATGAGCATACCTTTTCCAATTATCAACAATAACTTTTGCGCATTGCATCAATTCAGAACTGAGTCTTTCACTTTTTGAAGATCCTTTTTTATGTAATCCAGCACTTTATCCTTTCTTTTTGCCCCGATTTTGCACAATAATACTCAACTACATTAATCCAAATTCAATCCACGATTGTAGTTACGTGGTAGAAAGCCGCAAGAGCAGGGTGTTGATTCTGTAAACATGTTCATATTTGCAAAGAAAAATATTCCGAAAATGAGTTGAGAAAAGCGAAAAAATATATTTTTCATTGATAAATGCATGAATAATGCACCAATAATTTCATGTATTAATACGGGACAGGTTATGCAATTCCAAAATTAATACCAATACCAATACTATCAATCGTTGTACGATCACTTCATTCCAAGAATGGCATGATTAACGTAAAATGTTTGGTCTCTGCAAAAAAAAATATGGAAAAAATGCTCAACTATTTTATGCCCGCATCTAAAAGAGATCCTGTAAAATATCGTTATGAGCTTCCCTCTGGATTTTATGGAGAAATTACAATCAAGAAATTCATTGGAGGTAAGTATATGCTTGTATACTTGAAGAAAATAGTAGAATGTCAGGGTTATGGCAAAAATGAGACTCTTATCCCACACATTAAAAATTTTGTTGGTTATAGCGATTGATTATAACCAAAGAGGGCGGGAATATGGATACGAATAGTACCAAGGGTGTCAGACGTCTTCTCAAAGAGATAGATGTCAATATGGAATTGGGGAATTACTTTTAATTTTGTCAAAAATCAAATAACATAGTGATTTATTTTATTATTTCCTGATGAAAATTTATTAGAAAAACAATGTAATCAATCATAACAACCTTTATTTTTGATTTCTTTTTTACTTCATCACAACATAGACTGACTAAATCAAATAATGTTAATTCGGATCTAACTGTTTTTGGTCAATGAATAACATACTCATTTTTAAAAAAATCCTTCAAATGTTTTATTAGAGTTAACAAAATTGGATAGAAGAAAATTATCTTATTGATGATAAATCTTTTTCAAATTTCAATGGTGATGTCATCAAATATTGGAAATTTATTAATCAAGAATTATCATCACTGACATTACATATTTTGCAATGCTGCATTAATTCTACATCAGCAGAAAGATTATTTAGTTCATTGGGCTTCTTTCATAATAAAAGAAAAAATATATTGAATGTAAATTTAAATTTGAATTTTTTATGCTAATATTTTCATTATTACTGTTTATTTAAAATAATAAGATTATCAAATTGATTAATATTTTTTTTCAGTATAAAAAAGTTTTGACCATGTCTCAAATCAAAGCTAAATTAATTTGAGCAAAAAATTAAAGAATTACAAAAATTTTTTGATCATTATCATTTGAAGAAAGTGGAATAACTATGATATTAGATGATTACAATGATTGATTGTGACCTTTAAGATCAATCAATTGGTAGAAATGTTGAAAATGGCGAAGGTTGGAAAAATTTGATATCAAGTTGGATTGAAATGACAGATGAAGGAAATTTTGAAGAATTTGATTTTCAAAAAATTTTCCATTAAATGATCCAAATATCTTACAAAAGTCACACCCAGCAGATGATAGTAATGCTAAATGAAAAATGGAAGATTCGCTTGTAAAAGATTTGGAACCTCCTTTTTACTATGAATTTGTTGTAGGCATATTTTATATATAATAACATTTGAACCTTTTTATTATTTGAATTTTTATATCACGTGATATAATTGTATACAAGTTTTTTTTTGATAAATTTTGCCGCCGATCGACATAATGTGTAAAACAACTTTCAAAAACAAAATTTTTTGAGCGGATAGCCTAGTTAGTATAATATACTATTAACATAATAACAACAGATAATAGAAAAATATACATTCAATGAAACATTTTCTAGCTACTTGCCCATGTTATAAACAACAGCACTAAGAGCATCGAGTTTGTAACATTAATCGAGCGTTTGCTTGCATTCTTTTTATTATGAATTGTGGAAAGGTCTATTGGATTTTGATTATATTAGGATATTCAGGAATGCCTAATTTCTCGGCATCAACTGACTCATAGGATGAATAAGCGTATGCAAAGTGTTGTCACTTTTTCAATTTCAGATATACTGAATGACAGAATTTGAGATCAATATTTTCTAAAATGAGATGGTTGAGTGATTTGAGTGGGCTCTCTATTGGGGAATTTGATCATTCTTTTTGGCTTTTCAATTTTACAGTGGATGGGGATGGATGCTGTTGCAGAGGAAGGAGATACAGTTTCTATAGCAGATTTGACGATTGGTTTGCTTATTGATTTATTAAAAGATTCTGTGACAGGTTTCCAATCACCAATCATTATTATTATTATCAAGATAATAAGCAAAGTGTAAATGATTAATTTTACCTCATCTTTATTACTAGGTCAAGTTTATCAATAATAGTTTTAACTCCAGGATTTTAGAGAGTCATGTGATGAATATTTCTTCGAAACAGATGCTGCTCACCATTATAAATGATACGATTTGAGAATATAAGCCGCCATTTTCAAAATGTTAACGCATTTGTATTCATAACTGTCAAGTTTTTTTCAACTGTATTAAAGTCCATCGGTATTTTACAATACCAAGATAATCAAAATATTAAACTTGATTGATCTACAGGTTCTAGGAGACGAATGACGTTTTATTAAACTAATCGAGCATGAAATATTAAATAAACATTGTGTAATGATGATTTTTGAATTTAGAATATAATAAATAAAATGATGACGCAGGTAATGTATACGTGTGATATATGTATATTGAATCATAAATTAATTGATAATTTTAAAAATAACCAATGATGTTTGGTGAATCCATTTCAAATGAATATTATACTTTGCATATTATTATTGGAGATTTTGGCGTTGAAGAAAGAATTATTTACTTGATTAGAAGAATAAATTTGTGTAACTTCTGACGTAATTATTGAAAAACTCCTAAAAAATTTTTTTTTGAATTCCTTCAAAAATATCCACACGGTACAAATATACATATTATACATATATATATATATATACAATATTTATTTGATTATTTGGAACTTATAATAGTAATAATAAATATAATAATAATAATGGGTGTTGTGATCTCTCGTTTCACTTCACAAAAGAATGATAATTATGAAAAAATATTATCGGAACTTGATGATAATATTCGTAAAGCAGAAATATGCCTAGGTGAAATAAAAATACGAGAACGTAATGCATTAATAATCTGGATAGTGTATTCATTATTAGCATATATCGCATATGTAGTAGGATATTGGTATTTTATCTATATGTCTAACGAGGGAGAAAATTGGGATTTCATGAAGGTGGCGCCTGTTTTAACAGGACCTTTTTTCATAGTAATTGGTTATAGATTCATTGCTTTATGGTATAAAAGAGAAGAAACAAATGAAATATCTCAACTTGAACAACTAAGAGCCAAACAAAGCCTTAAAGTAGAAGAATTAAAAAAGAAAACTGGTTATTATACAACTAAAACTTTGTTGGAAAGATACGATTCAACAACCAAACTTCCAGCAAATCTTCCCGGTCAAAAAAATCTACCATTAACAACAGCACCTGGTAATTTAAAACTTGGGCCAAATTCTTTACGTCAACGCTTACCACCACCAAACAACAACAACAACAGTGGAGTTAATAATAATAATGGAAATATTGACCAACAATTATCTAGATCATTATCATCATCGTCAATAAATCAAATTAATAATATACAAAATCAGCAGCGTCATTGGTATGATAAACTAGTTGATGTAGTTGTTGGTGATGATGAGCAAAAATATGCTTTGATTTGTAAGGATTGCTATACTTGGAATGGTTTGACTTTTGCAGCTGATTATGATGATATTCAATATTATTGTAAAAATTGTAATCATTTCAATCCATCAAAAAGATCTTTAAGAAATAATGCTGTTTCAGCACCAGCACCATTAAATCAGTCACTATCTACAAGCAATACCAGTAATAATAATGGTGATGATAATAATAATTTATTATCACCATCAAATGGTAATCTTGATGCCTCAATTGATTATTTATCACCAAGAAGAGGTCGATCTACAACACCAAAACCAACAAGTAGAGATTCATCATCAGGTCCGGAAAAATCAAAAGAAAAACATGATAATCATGATGACGATGGTGATGTTGCTGTTAATAAAAGATTGACATCAAGATCTAGAAGTAAAGGTAGTCATCATGGTGATGGTACTGAGGGTGATGACAATAATGAAGATAATGTTAAAGATGAAGTTTGATGATAATAATATTCAAGAAAATTTGCTCAATTTCAAAATCATGTGAAAATTCATATGATTATGACTATATATATACTTCCTTTCTATATTTTCTCACCTCAAACAATTTTATTTAAATTTAAATTTATTATTTATTAATGAACAATTTGAATTGAAAAAAAAATTAGCAGTATATATATATATATATATTAGTTGACATTAATAAATGAGTGATCGATCAAGAATCTGATATTATCTTTTCTCTTGTTAATAATAATTTGTTTAAAGAATCGATTCTTTGATTAATTTCTTTATTCGCTCATTTCTTTTATCGATTTAAAGGGGGAGTAACATTTGTATAATTACATTCATTCAATTACTGCTATAAATAAAAATTACCAATTGAATAATTTAATAATGCAAAACATTCAATTGTACAATTCATTCTTTCTATAATGGGATGCACAATTTTTTAGCATAATAATAGTAACTATCGGTCTTGTGACATATCGTGCAGATCAGGAATGATTTCTGGCTTGAGCAAAAATAGCAAACTTGAAAATTATAACAGAAACGTTATAATTGAACGAGGAAGAAAATGACGTCGTATAAAAAAATAGCTGAAAATATCGATGTAGCTGAAAGAATTATCAAATAACGAAATTTAGAAGAAAAGCTATCGTTGGATCCTTTTAAGCCAGCCCCGCATATTATCCACGCAAACAGAGACTTGAACGGTTTTCTTTTGTTAGGATGATTAAAAAATTGGACAAGTGAATTGTTTTTAGTGATGAATTTTTTATGCATTCTCATTATTCGTAATAAATCCAATCTTAATATTAATTCGAGTTATTTTATTTTATTCGAATTATTCGTTTTATTCGAATTATTCGCTTTATTCGAATTACTCATTTTATTCGTTTATAAAATACAAAATGTTAATTCACAGCTTGATGCAACAAATTCTATATTGTTGTTATTGTTAATGGATTTTAACTAGGTCATATTTCCTTTAACAAAATAATATAAATTACAATAATTATAATTATAATCTATATTACCACTATGATGATTATTAGTACTCTGACTAAGAAAGAAAAAAAAATGTCAATTACTATTTAGGACTACTAAGGAAAAATAGATTGGTAAAGAAAAAATATTTTAATTGGATCGGATTAGGTTTATTCCATTACATTACTGCAAACTCTGCATACCTTTAATGAATATGTTTTTGGAAAGGATATTTACACTTTGAGCAAATCTGCAAATATAAAGGCAAGTGAGACATATTGCATTAAAAACAGATACACTGCCTGGAAGAAAGTATCGGGACACACATTTTTAATAATTATGCAAAATTTTACATAACAATAAATTATAAAAATAATATCATTTTGTGGCTTAAGTCTTTGAGAATGTGCTTATAAAATGTCATATTTCTAGCCTTCATTTATATTTTTTAATTTTAAAAATACAAACTTCAATTTAAAATCACGATGATCAACCTTGTATATTTTTTAATTTTACAATTTCTTAAAAAGAAATTTATATCAATATGTAGCTTAGGTTCTCAAGAATACTTATTTGAAATTTCATGACTTTACCATGGTTAGATATATTGTTATTTAAAATAAAGGATCTGCACTAAAATTGATGGATTAAAATTTTTTTGATCTAATTTTTAAAAATGTCTAAAAATTTGGAATTGACTGAAACTGAACAAGGAAAATATTAGGTCTTAGAATAGGTGGTAGTAGTATTAGAAAGATTTCAAAAATACTTAAAATTCCAAAATCTACTGTTCACAAAAATATTCAACGTTATTAGAATGCAGTGAGTCTAAAAAGTGCATCAAGAAGTGGCCGTCCAAGGGTGTTAAAAGTTAATGATCAAAAAATCCTGAAAGAAATTGTGACAAAAAAAAATCGTAGTTCTGCAGAAGAGATCCAAAAAGGTTTTGTTCAAGTAAATGGCATTCAAGTATCAATAAAAACTATTCAAAAAAATTTGCATGAACTTGGAGTTTTTTCTAGAGTTGCTGCAATAAAGCCCTTATTAACAGAACAGCAAAGAGAAAATCGATTAAAGTGGTGTTTAGACAGAAGAGGTTAGACTGTGAGACAATGGAAAAATGTCATCTGGAGTGATGAATCCTATTTTAAAATTTTTAGGAGTGATGGACCATCTCAAGTTTGGAGGAAAAATGGCAAATGTTACAATATTGAGAATATCAGACCATCTGTTAAACATGGTGGTGGTGGAATAATGATGTGGAGGTGTTTTTCTGGAAAGGATTAGGACCTCTAGTAAAAGTAGATGGATGGATGAATAATCAGGATTATATTGAAATTTTGAAAAATAATTTGATGCTGTTAATTGCAACACAATTTCATAATAGAGGTTACAAATTTCAAGATGATAATGCACCAGTGCACACAGTGAATGAGAGAAAAAAATATTGTGACATTACCTGATTGGCCATCTCAGTCTCCTGATCTCAATCCGATTGAACACCTTTGGGATGAGTTGGAAAGGAGATTGAAAAAACGTGAATTTATCCCCAAAAGGCTCAAGAATTGGAACTTGCTCTGCAAGAGGAATGGTCTGAAATTCCTCAAACAATTTATCACAAATTGATTGAAAGCATGCCGAGGAGAATAGAGAATGCATTGCTAATAATGGGTGGCCAACACAGTATTGATTTATTTGTTTATAATTTTGATGATCAACAGTGAAAATTTTTAAAAATTTAAATTTAATTGAAGTTTGTATTTTTAAAATTAAAAAATATAAATGAAGGCTAAAAACATGAAATTTTATAAGCGCATTCACCAAAATCTAAGCTACGTTTTGATAAAATTTTATGTATAATTATTATGTGAGTTTTTGCGTAATTATTAAAAACAGGTGTCCCGATACTTTCTTCCAGGCAGTGTATAAGAATCATTTAACATACCTGGCTTGATTTAAATTCATTTACCAATTGAGTGGTACATCTTCTTTCAACTCTTGGTATAACTGTTTTTTGGTCATGAAGCATAACCTGGAGAAAAAGAGGAGAATCCACTAGATCTGTAAGTCAAACTACATCAGAATAATGCCAGTATTGTGGTTTACCAATGATCCATTGACACATTTAGAAAGAGCTTGTTGCTTGCCATCATAATTATCAAATTTTATTTTGTGATAGCAAAGTGCACCATAAAAAGATCAGAAGGTATGATAATGCATTAAAATAAATTGAATGTGATTTAAGAAGTTGGACTTGGTGGATACATATGATTTAGGTAGAGCATTTTGTAAATTTTTAATATTTTGATTCCATAATGAATTAATTTGGTCATTGACAAACAAAATCACTAACTTTGATCTAACAAATAGTAAAGATGTTAAAGACTTACTTTGTTAAAGCCATATTTTTATTTTTTTCCTATTTTGCACAAATCTAGCCATATCTCTGTACTCCTTTGTTCCACAATGAGCAATAAATATATTGATCATAGTAATTACATATTTTAGCAAAATATTTTTCCATAATTTTTTGAATTGTTGGGTGTTGTTGATCTTATTTTTTTTTGATTCATATTGCTCATTTATTATACTAATGGAATAATATTTAAAGTTTCATTTGGATAAATATATCCATTTTCCAAGAGTTTTCTAGTAGCAGACTTCCAAACTTCCTATATTTATTCAAATGTTTAAAATCTTTATAAACCCATACCAATTATGAAAAAAAAATATATATAAATGAGTTCACCTTATACCACTGATTGTCATTTTCTTTAAAAACTTGAGTCTTTTTTTTTTTATTCCTTTAATTCATTTGATAATTTAGTATAATTTGAATCTAATTTTTTTACAATTTTATTAGTCTTGAGGTTTGTGCTTCAAAATGTTACACTAATTTTATTATTATTATTATAATAATAAATATTGTTAATATTATTGGGAGAGCGTGTTTTAATGGGTGATGGCAATTATTTTTGTATTTGTGTGGATCAGAATGAATAGGTTATCAACAAATCTTTGAAAATTGCGATAATATTTAAAAATTTTGAAATATTGGAAAGATGATTCTTCCTTAATAAAGTTAAATAAACTATGGCGTTATTACAAATAATTATTAAATAAAAACGTAGGCGCAACACGGATAAAATAATACTAAATTACGTATTAGTATAATAAAATTAAGAATTTTGGAATTAGTTAATTTCAGCCAAAAGAGCGTCCAATCTAATTCCGGTAACATTATCATAATATTAAGAAAATTATATTAACAGGGATATTGTCAAAAAAAAAATATATCATACTAATATTAAAAAATATTATTTAATTATCATTAATAATAAAACATATATTATTAACATATATAAATAAAGCCAAGAAATAACTTAGACATAATTGGTTTGCATTGAATTATTTGTGTTATGTAAAGATTTAAAATTATAATTTGATTGAAGAAACATAAAATAATTGCTTCTTAAGATGCTTTAAACATAAGGTAGAAAATAATCCTTCACAATTACATTGTGTGGTGCTATACAAAGCACTTTTAGAGCCAACTTTCTACACTATGTAGAATCATGTACATACAAATTCAAATTCATATGGCTTTGTATAAGCTTATATGCTGCTACTAGCTGATATATTTGTCTAAAAATATCAAGTTTAAAGCCTTTTCCTGCGAAACAATGGTATTGATTATGCTTAAGGTTGTGGGCAAAACTCCTCCAGAAATCAATTAACAAGGTTTCAACAGGTTACACATTAATTGTTTATTAGAGTTTTGGCAAAGTTTTGCATTTGGGGTTTTGTCAATCATCAGAGTTTTGACAAGGTATATATTAATTGTTCATTAGAGTTTTGACAGATTTTTGAAGCAACCTTAATTATGCCTCTATTAAAAAAAAAAAATGAATAAATAAAAATGCCTTGCCTCTATAAAATGGGCAAAAAAAAGCCAAGCAAATAAATTTTAATATTCACCTTTTGTTGAACTTTTCAATACAAAAAAAATGAAAGGAATGAAATGATGTGTTCTTAAACCCCAAGGTAATTGTTGTTTCTTTAACTGGTTGAAAATTTTAAAATGTGCATAATTTTTTTTTTCAAAATTTTTTAAATAATAATCAAGTATATACTAATATTAGAAATATTTTACAAATTTCAACTAATAATATTAATCCATGATTAGCTAACATAAATTGGCTTCATATTAATTATAATAAAAATTTATACAAAATGTGACTCCCAATTACAGTCAAACCTTGATAAACCAAACTACTATAAACCAATTTTCACTTTATAATGATGCAAAATATACATGAAGTTGAAATGGTTGAAAATAATTTTGACTTTTTGATAAATAGTCAAAAATAAGTTGATTGGTATAATTTTTTAATGTTCTTGTTTATAAAAAATGCTGAGAAGCCCAAATTGCCCAAACTAGTTTGGGCTTTGAGAAAACAGTTTGGACTGGAAACCTTAAAAAATATACCAAGAATTTGACCATTTTATTGATATTTTCTTTTTCTCACTCAATTTTGTTATCTTCTAGTTTTTTTTTGACTGTCAGGAATTTTAATATTTTTTACGTACTGAGTTTTTTTAATTACACCCATTTTAAATATTTAAGGTTTTTATTAGAAAAATTTATTTATTTTTAGAAGAAAGAATTAAAATTGATACATATGTAAACTCTATAAGTCGGTCATGTGGGGGTGAGTTCATATGACTGACTTATCGAGTAAACTGACTTATCGAGTGACCGACTTATCGAGTTTACATATGTACATTTTACTTCATAAATTGGGCCAGAATTAAACAAAATTGACCAGAATTATAGGGGGTCAATTTCAAAATTTTTTATAATACATCAAACTTTAACTTGACATGACTTCTGTTGCATTGAACTTAATTAAAAAACTCAACATAGTTCAATAGCCTTTAACTAGAATAATTGATTTATGTTGTTTTTTTTCAAAAGTTATATGAGAATTTAACCCATGTCAATTTTAAGAAGACTAGTTATTTTGGATGCATTACTGTGACATGCATTGCAGTGATGGCAATGACAGTTATTTAACTTTTGAACTGTCAGTTAAATAACTGGTTCAAAGTTAAATAACCAGTTCAAAAAATCATTTGAACCTGCAAACTTTGGTTCAATGACATAAATTGATTGATTTGTGCAAGGTACATTGTCTAACCAAAATTGGAAATTATCAGCAAACAATTAACAAATTGGGTTAGATAATATGCACAAGTTTGTTTCTATCACCTATATCTTTTTATTGTAAATTATGATTTCTTCTAAGCTGTTCCTGTGTACAAATTGATAAATTTTTAAATCAAGGTGTAAATAAACATTGTCCTTTCCTAAAATCAAAGTTATTGACTCTGGATCCAGAAAACAGTACATATAATAATAATATTTGATACTGATTTCCATATTCGCAATGAACTTTCTCAAATAAATTGCAGATTGGTTAAATAACTGCTCAGCAAAGTTCAAATGATCAGCATGTTATTTAACTAATTAACAATTCAAAAGTTCAAATAGTTCAAAAAAAGGTTTGAACCAGTTAAATTGCCAACACTGATGATTTGAATTCTAAGGAGTGGCCTAAAGACTAGTGCCGTAAATTATGATGATGGTAGTAATTGTATTTACGGCATATAAAAAGTGGTTGCAATTACCTTTGCGACCATTTTTGCAACCATACTTTTTCCTTTTTTGGATTACGGCACTAGTCTTTAGAGTGGCCAATCATATTTCAGCATTTAAAATTAATCATTACTAAAAATATTTTTTAAATTATATTTTTCAACAAAGATATTCTATAATTTTTGATAAAAGAAGGATCATTTAAATCATCTTCAAAATTTTCCATTTTTTCTTTGCAAGCAATGCAGATATCCAACCATTTGGTTTATCAGGTAAAACATAAGTATTTTTTATATCAATTACTTCCTCAAGTAGGCATTAATAAAATTCTGATGATTCTTTGTGAAAATGTTTTATTTTTGTATGACAAAGTCTAAACTAAAGACGTTGGCCAAAATTATTTTGAAAAATCAATTTTGGCAGGCAATTTCAGATTTACAATATTTTTCATAACAATATAAAAAAACTACCCAGAATTTCAGCTATTGTTCTAAAGTGTTCAAATAGTTTTGAATGTAATTTCAGCAACTAATAAAGTTAATTTTGACAACTAGATTTGATGACGATCATTTACTAAGAGAGGTAATTTCAACTAATGTCTTTAGTCTAAACAAAGCCTAGTCTAGTCCAATAAGTTCAATCTGAACCAATTGGACCAGTCCAATGTACAACTAAACCACTACACCAATTGATTCAAATTGTCCAAAGTCCAATAAAATGATTGGACTGGCAGTTTTGACAACACTGCTCCTCATAATGATCCACAGAATTTATTTTCTTTGGCAAATATTTGTAATCATAAGTTAACTATCTATAAATTGGTTTAATTCCTGAGAGTCATTATTATATAATTAAATATAATATATAAATTTATTGGTTTAGAAAACTTCTAGAAATAAATAAATATAATATGACTCCTGAATATGCTGTGGCACAATTTCCTACTAAGTTAAATAGTAAAAATGTATGTTTACTTGGAGGAAAAATTTTTAGTATATTCAGTGGTCCTCAATTAATCAACATAAAAAGATTTGCTTAATATCACTGGTACTGAATGCTAAACCACATGTAGCACATTTACGATTTCGAGCTTCTTGTTGCTGACCCAGACACTCTTTACAAAAAATGTGCATACATTTTATAATGCAATGGGATTTGAATCTAATAGAACATGTTGAACATTTCAATAGTTTCTAACAAATATAAATCATTAAGATTAAAGATTAAAAAAGAAAAAAAAGAAACAATCAGTCAATCGATTTAAGTCTCACTAAAAGAAATTTATCATTACCTCATAACTATACACTAATTTTTCAGCTGTAACATTAGATTTATCATTATCTACTTCTTCTACTTTTTTCTTACAAATTTCTAATTCTTCATTTAGCCTCCTAACTTTAAATGTTTCTTTTTCATACGATTTTGTCAAATCATCATACCTTTTTTGAAGCTAATATTCATCATTTAATGTAAATATAGTAATATTAAAAATATTAAAATATTAAATTTACATGTACCAAAAAAAAAAAAATAACAATAATAAACAATATTAAAATAATATTTTATTACATCAATATAAGAATTGTATGCTTTATCTATTTTTTCTTTCATTTCTTTTTGTTGTTGAGTCATTTCAATTAATTTGAGTTTGTGGACATCAACCACTTGTTTAGAACATGCTATTTCTTTATTGGCATTTTCCTAATAACAAAAAAAATCTCAATGATTACAACCTGTATCATTAAAATATATGTGTGTATGCATGTGTGTAATATGAGTGTATAAATTACAAACCAATTGTGATTTAAGATTATCTTCCAAATATTTCATTTGTCGAACATGGTCAGTTTGACTTTGAATAACTGTAGACAAATGATTTTTCTGTTTTTTTAATGATACATTTTCCATCCAAATAGCATTCAATTTTTGTCTAGCTTTTGATTCCTAAATAATCATCATATTTAATTAATAATTATAAATTTTGTTTGTAATGGATGTTGACATTTTAACCAATGGCTGAAATTTTTAAAAATAACATACAGATTCTCTTGCAATTTGCAATCTTTCATCTTGTGCAATAATTTCAAATACTTTTCGAGTATTTTCTTCATCTTGACGTGTCCAATGATCACCCAAAACTTGAAGTTCTTGTAATAATTCTTTCTCATTCTTTAAAAATAATAATAATAATTAGGTGGTGAGAAATAAATAAAAAGTACTTAGAAATATATGGTTATAATATTAGTGTAATAATAATAATAATGAAAATAAATATATGTTACTTTTTTAAGATAATCACATTCTGTTTCTAATTTTGAGATTTTTTTCATTAATTCCTCTATTTTTTTTGTTAGTACATGTATTGGATCACCACTTGGATCTTTTATACCATATCTTTTATCATATTCTTCTATTTGTGATTTTAACTCATCAACCTCTCTTTTATATTCAAGTTCTGAGATTTTCATTCTTTGATATTCTTGCATGCCTGGATGTGCATTGTTCATATAATTATCTAATTGTTGTTCCAGTTTTGCTCTGATTTCTTCTGATTGTCTATTTTTTTTTTTCAAATTAAATTGTAAACATGTAAAATATAGTATTCCATAACTATTTTAGTATTAAAAATTTCTTTAATAATAATTTAGAAGAAAAAAGGAAAGATATGTGTATATAGAGAGAAAGCTTTACAATACTTTAATCTTTCTTGTAAATGATGATCATATGATAATTTTTGTTGAATGAATTCAAATGTATCAGCACCTGATGCTATTTCATCATAAGAAAATTCTGGAGGTTGAACAGGATTACAATAAAAATCTGCAGCATCTTTGTTACCCTCTTGTGCTGCTAATTTCATATGTAGTCTTCGAACTTCATCCATCAATTGTTTAATTATAGTTTTGCGATCATTCGCAATCACCCTTAAAGCATTTATTTGATGAAAATCAGTAGGCAGCATTGCTCTTAACTTGTCCACCTCCATTGTCACATCATCTCTTTGTGCACGGATTCTGTCCAAATCTGTGAGAAGTTTATTTAGCTGTTCTTCTGCATCCTTTTTAGAAAGCTTATTTTCTTCCTGTTAATTATTTTATTTTAATTTAAATATAAGCCATTGGTATAAAAAACAATATTTGAAAATAAACCGACTTGTATCTGATTTGTTGCTGAATTCCTAGTAGCTATCATCTTCTCCATTTCGCGACTATTTTGCTCCATAAATGTACGCAAGTAATCCAAATTTTCTTTGCAATGAAGGTATTGAAGTTGTAAATTTTTGTATAGTGATGATTCTATTACTCGAGAATCTGGAATATTTTTTATCTAAATAAATATATATATATAAATAAGGCCTTATAATGTATTAATGATTAATTCATTGATTGGTTTATTAACTACTTGTTCACGAAGGTTATTAATCTCTATTTTTAAATTAGCCTTTTCTTTTGATATTTCTTCTACTTCTTTTAAACGAGACTCTGAAAGTGATTGAAATTGAAATAATTTTTCTTCCAATTGTTTTGACTATATAAATAAATCAAAATTTTTATATTAAAATGAGATGGATCTTTTTTCACAAAATAAAGTAAATTCTAGACAAAAAAACTCGTGAACATTATTATCATTAGATTGTGATTCTTGCAAAGTTTGAGTTTTAACACCAGACCAATATCCAAGAGTAACACTTTTTGATTTATCCATACGTTTCTCAGCTTGTCTTAATTGTTCCTCAGTTGATTCTAATCTCTCTATCTTTTCTCCAAGTTGATTTTTTGTCATCTGTAATTCATCTTTAAGAGAATTTATCTTTTAAAATAATAAAAATAATATTTTAATAATTTATAATAAAATAATACTAATAAAAATAATAATAGTAATAATCATCATCATAAACCTCAAATGTCATAGAGTGAGTTTTTTCTTGGAGTACGTCAATTTCTTTATTAACGTGTATATAAACTTGGTTTAAATCTTGATTTTCTGATTGTAGTAATTGAATTGATCTATTTTCTCTTAATGTAGGATCATTAATTTCTCCTTGTAAATCTTTAATAAGATTATTTCTTTTTTCAATCCATAAAATTATTTTTTCTAAAAGTTGTTTTACAATTTCTTTGGTAATAGTACATTTTTCAATGATTGCATTTTCAATTTTCTCAATTGATTGGTCCTCATTATCAATTTGAGTAAGCCGTTTAAGAAAATTTGAATCACGAAGTTGTGCTTTATTTTGTTAATTAATTATTCCCCGCCAATAATGATAATATATATAAATTAATATTGATAATAATATTAATGCTATTAATTATATGATAAATAGTTAAAACGTTAATATATATATATTTATACCAATTGGAGGAGCTGAGTTACTGCTATCATCAACTCTATCAATAAGCATCTTCAAATCAATTAATAACTATCAAATCAATTAATATTATTAATATGTAAATATATAAAGCACATTAAAAAATATATATATTCTAATTAAACAAACTTGTTCCCAGTATCTATTGACAAGACTTAAATGCTTATCATAGTTTTCTTGTTTACTCTCAAGTTGTTTGCTCCATTGAAGTACACGTTCTGCCTCACGCTTGTATTCTTGTAGAGCACGGTATATAGCTTCTTTTTGGTAATTCTATATAAACATTTTTGAAAATATATTAACGTTAAAAGATCTATTGTTTTTGCTTTGAAATAATAATAATGCCAATATAATTAATATTTTAGATTCCAACCTCTAGCCAATTGGAATCAGAAATATCAAAATTCATTTGTTCACAAAGTTTTTGAATATTTCTAAAAAAATGGAACTATATTAATATTAATTTATAAATAAGACAAAATTATTGCGGATAAATCACGTGATAAAATTTTGGACAGAGTATTAACAAAGGATATGAACACACAATTATACACTTATGTAAAAACTGGTACAACCGAATCATATGAAACCCATGTTTCAATATTTGAGATTAAAGCTAAGGCAAAAAGACTTTTTTACAAAATATGGTTTAATAACAATAGTAATAACAATAACAATGATAATATCATATTATCTCTCACAATATTAGCATGGTTAAGGAGTACACCAAGGACAACATTTGTAGTTTACAAATTAACAATAGAACACAGCAAATTATTAAACAATTCCTGAAAATTGGAATTTTATACTTGGACTAGAGACGCGATCCGCGGATATCCGTCATACGTCATCCGTTAATTGCTCAAAAAATACATCCATCGGATTTAAACGGATTATCAAAATTGAGCGGATCATCCAGATCAGGGTTGTGCAATTTCGCTGTACGAGAAGAATCTTCGTACGTACGACTGACTTTGTACCATTGAGTTCGTACTGTTTCGTTGTGATCGTACACCTGTACGAGTAAATTTTACATATGTAAGTACGTACATACGTACGAATGTACGAATGTACGATGTATCAGGAACGATGATTTTCTACGGTGACAAAATATTACTTTGTAAAATCCTATAATAATATTATTATTATTAAGCCGATAACTCTATTATATAATTAATGGATTGCCAGATGTTGTAACTGGAATCGTAATACTATTTCATTATCAGAAAAAACCTGATTATCATGTTATATATGCTTATTTAAATCCCTTGTTATTATGTAGTAGTATTATATACGTTATCATTATAGTCAGTGTTGTGCGATTTCGTTGTATATACAATGATTTTCTGTGGTGATAAAATATTATTTTATAATAATATTATGCTGTCAGCCCTATTACTATTACGATTACTATAATTAAAGGTCGTAACAGATCGTAATACTACTTCATTATCAGAAAAACCCTGATTATTATATTATACTTACATTATCCTGAGTGCATTATTGTTGGTAGTATTAGTAGTATTATTATTACCGTGATTCCTAAAATTTTTTTCTATCACTATTTATTTATAATGAAATAAAAAAATTATCTTTACATTCTTGTTAATTATATTATCAATTCAAAATAATTAATAGTATTATTAAATATCTTCAATCATATACAGTATGTATATAGTTAATTCCACAATATAGTCAAACCTTGCCACAGTGGATGACACAAATTTTATTTAAAATCCGTTGTGGCAAGATTACTAAATACTAATACTAATCTTGCCACAGCGGATTTTTATATGTTTTTACATGTGATATACGAAGCAAAAAATTTTAAACTTCGTTATGACAAGAGTCTGATTATTATTATTATTATAGTTTGCTGTGACAAAAGTTGACGAATTTAACATATTACATTTGATCAACCAATAATAATTATCATAAATCACATGATATGTTCGTACAATGTACTAAAAAATTTAAGCTCATACGTACGTGTACGATTCCCAACCCTGGTCCAGATTGTATTAGTGTTAGTATTAATATTAATAAAATGTTACAAAAAGAGTAGTAATGCTAATAATTTACAATTCGTTTATATTTATTATAAAGTTAATTCAGTGGGTGAATACATTTAACACAACTTGCATTCCTTTTTAAAAACAAAATTCGTTTAAACAATTCTAAATCTAAACGTGATATTTTAGCAGTCGATAAATTCCCTGCAAGGTAAGTTCACTCTCATTATCATTACCGTCATCATTGCCATTGTAATTATATTCGTTATTATCATTATTCATTGTAAGTAATCTTACAAACTAGTAAAGAAGCAATGGAAATAAAAACATCGAAAAATGAATTAGATAAAGATGATAAAAAGTATTATTATTATATACACGGATCATCCGGGTATCCTATAACAATAACAATAATAATAATTTCTAAAATTTCAATCCGCGCATTTTAAAAAGCCATCCGTCCGGATTGATCATCCACGAATTGCATCTCTAACTTAGACAAAATCAACACTAGAAAAATAAAAATGGGTGTTGGTTGGATACAAACAAATCAAAAAAATGAACCATTAACCTTCTCAGCATCAGTTGAAAATTGGCCTTCTTCAACAAAAACAGAGGTGTTGGCTATACTATCTGTACCACCTGTCACTCCACTGAGAGTAATATTACTATTTTTAGTGACAGTGAAACCACCATAAAATTATTTGACAGATTTATAATAAAAATGAATATATAAGTACAGGAAGATTTATGAAAGAAATTATTATTTATTATAAGGCATAATACAAGATACAGTATCTGAACTAAAGCGAAAATACCAATAAAGAATGTGAAAGCACAAAATGCTATTTTTTTAATGAAAAATCAGACTATTTATCAAAATTAGGTTTGGACTCTGATCTGTTGGAAATCAAATACCAAGTTTTAAGTATCAACCATCTTTAAATAATATAAAAGTTGAAATATCATTAAGGCTCTTTTTAAAAAATTGCTCAGAAGTAAAAGGCTTTTTAATTTGGAAGTAAAAAAGTAGAAATATAAAATATGACAAATCAGAATAAAAACTCTAATTAGCTGGCCAATGGCTTGGATAATATTAAATTTTAATGGTGAAGAAAATACTAAAACATCATTTAATGCTATTAATAAAAAGTCCTTCAAGTTAAAAAGTTAATAGAGGAATTACCAATTATTGAAAGCCTTAAATTGTGAAGTCCAGATCTATATAATAGTAATTGGAAACGTTGCCTTTGCAACAAAGAAAATGAAGATTTTTCACATATTTGGATATGTGAAAAACAAAGAGAAACAATTAACAATATAATTCAAGGGTTAAAAAAAGACCCAGTAAAGCAAATAAAAGAAATAAATCATTTGGCTCCTGGAAATATGTTTGATGAGAAGACAAAAACCAAATCACATTCAATGATCTGATAAAAGGAACTATACCAAAAGACCTTTATGATCACATGAAATTTTATATAAAAAAAGAAGAAAAAATTATGTAATGTCATGGAAAATGTGAATGTTTTAATCAAAGAAAAAATATGGAAAGCATTTTGTCAGGACTGTCACACCTTCAAACACTAATATTATTGAAGATCTTATAAATAACTATCTCCATATTACAATTTATAATATTCAGCAAATGGTTTCCATCCCAACTGAAAGCATTGAAACCATCTTACATGAGGAAATTTCTGTCAGGAAGGTGTGTGCAAAATGGGTTCCTTACGCTCTTACTAATGAAAACAAGCAAAAACAATTTAAGGTTTCAAAGCAATTGTTTGGGTACCTTGAAAATGGGTTTCGAAATATTATTACTGGGGATGAAACATGGCTTCATTTCTTTACAGTCTCATCTAAAGATGCCAATGAGGTTTGGCTAAGCAAAGTAGAAAGCTGGCCACAAATTATAAGAATAGCTCAAAATAGGAAAAAACAAATTTTTTGCATTTTCTTTTCAGCTGATGGGGTTGTGGCAAGCATTGTGGTGGAGAAAGGACATACAGTTACTAGTAATTACTAATCTCTTGTGCATACATCAATCTTTTCAATCAAGAAAAAATAATTTTCATTAATCATTAGAAGCACCTTGTTTCTTTTTGTTCCATTCTTCCCAAAAATTCTGTTTAGTAAGAGTTGAGCTTTCTTGGCCCTGTATGTTATGTATGCTCTCTACATTCGTTCAGCTCATTCATTCTGAATATGAACATGATAATGACAATGAGTACTTTCTATAGGACGTTTTATTTCCATACTATTGTTTTATTGACAAATATAGGAAAAATACAGCCCAAATTTGTTTGGTGATTTCAATGGTCAAAACTATTCCAATTTTAGTGGTAGAAAGTAGAAATTTAATTACGGTACTCACTATTAATAACATAAGTGTAACCACCTTTATGACAATGTCAAAATACTTTGGGCTGCATGTATAATAATAATAGAAGAATATACTAAACAATGACAACATCATCAGTATAATAACAGTTTTGATATTTTTGGTAAAGATAGGTGTATTGATAGATGATTTGGTTATACCTTTTACTGCTGATAGATTTTTATATATTGCTACAGTTGGTGTCACACCTGAATTAATGTTTTTGAAAGTTTTACAAATGATCTTAATCTTGAAAAATTTTCTACAATGTTCATTTGTGTTATGATGGCAATTCTTACTTGGAATGAAGCATAAAATTCAAAAGTTAATTTCTTAAAATTAAACAGTTTAATATATAGACATAACTATATAATATTTCACTAGGATTTTTTGTACCTTTAATCATTCATTCATTATCTTTATTAGTGCTCGTTTCAATAATATTTTCAGATTTGACTTGCATGTTTGAAATTTTTCTTGCCAATACAATATATGCTAGTCCTGGCACTGGGAAAACCTGTTTAAAAAATTGCCTTCACTATTAATCTCAAGAAATCTCTTCTCTCACAAAAAAATATATACTTACATTTGATTCTTACATGTGGAATGATACTTGTTAAAAATAAAGTTTCACATTTTTATATAACGTTTTTTATACAGATGGATTATTCTTATAATTTGTTTTTACTAATATTTAATTCTACTAACTGATGTCAACCATCGAAGAAAAGTTATTATTGACAGTAGAAGTTATGGTTATAAGTGTTGCTGTTTTATATAGAAATTATATGCTGATAAAGTTCATGGTGTTGTATTTAACAAGTTCACCGCACCTTTTAAAATTTATCATATTTATATTTGACTTAAGTTCAAATTGATCAACAAATTTAAAGGACCCGGTAGATGTTAAAGCAACTTCCCTATAAAGGGTGTAGATCACTCCCAAATAAAAATTAAAAAAACAGTTGATTGATAACTAATAATGACCTTAGCTTTAAAACTGAGTATTTTATATATAGAAATGGTTCGTGGGTACACTGTATATAGGAAAAATATATGCTTTTCGTATAACAAAATTTTTTTATTGAATCCAAATTTTATTAGAATAAAAAAATTTGTTATAAAAATAATTTATGAATGAGAAAGGAGAGGAAATACAAATTACCAAATCTACTTTTTCAATTGATCAACAAGTCCGCATCAACAATAATAAACTATTAATAATAACGGTATTAAACGTTATTCTTTCTTGGTTTTTTCCCTCTTTTGTTGCCTTCTCTGCCTTCCTTTTCCTTTTCTTTATCATCATATGATCTATTTCTTTTCCTCTTATTAATCTGAATAAATTAATAAACAAATAATCTATGAGCATTAAAATAAATGTGGTAGTAATAATATAAATATAACATCTTACTGAATTGTTTTCATTATTCAAATTTGACATTAAATGTTGTGATGATGATGATGTTTGTGCATTCGATGATGATGTGCCATTATTATGTCCTGTTAAAAGATTTGAATCTATCATAGAATTATCCATAAGGTTTATTGTACCATTTCCATATGATAACGGTTCTATTATATTAGTCATGTCATAATATGATTGTCTAAAATATTAAAAATTAAATAAAATATTAATCAATTAATCCAATACGAAATAATATATTTATAATATATTTACTTACATTGGTATGTGTTGTTGGATTTGATTGTCCATTAAAGCTAATGGGTATTGATTAGCGGCATATAATTTCAATTCCTTCTCTCGTTCTGCTGCATCTTCGTCAGTTTTCACTTTCTCAATTATAGCTCGAATATCTGACGGTATAATTTCTAAAATATCTTCACTTAATTTTGCTATCATATCCCTTGGTTTCTCTTCAATATATGTTATCATTCCTGGTGGTTCCATACGATGTTGTGGTATGAACTCAACATTCAAATATGTTGACTGAGTGTCATTAGGAAGCTGTACAATGTTTGTATGCGGGTCATAGTGGTATGGTTTTTCTTTCCTATTCACCTTTAACCGAGCATTATAATCTCTTACTGAAACTAACCTGTGATGTTGCAATGTTGCTTCATCCAAGTTTTTTAATTTATTTTTGGGTCTCTTGAGATTACATTGTTTAGATAGAATGTTACAAACATCTTCATGATCGCTTATATCATCATCTCGACTTCTCCTACCGCCGTGTACTATTTTTGTTCCAAAAATAAAGTATGCCAGCCAAGCATACACAATTGTGGCATTGCGGGACCTGGTAAAATGGTCTATCAGCCCTAATTCACATAAATAATTTTTCTCTTCATCAGTGGTTGGTAGTAACTTTAATATGGGATTTCTTAGATGTAGCAAATAACTGTCATTGAATCCCAAGGTACTTGCTACATCTGATGACAACATGAACCAGTCATCATCGCGACTTGATAATTGGAATACAGGGATTTTGAATTTATATCCTAAAGATGAAATATATAAATATTTTTATGCATATTAATTAGATGTATAAATATAAAATAAATATAGGTATTTCATTAATTGAATATTATATAGATATTATAAACCTTACCCTTTTTATTACTTTCATTATCCAAGGTAATAATTACCATCTCCTCATCGTCAACAGTCTCCTTCCTGACTGTTGGTTGATCCTTCAAAAATTGATCTCTTATTGATAAATTGTCCATTTGATCCTTATTACCATCACTGTCACTACCACCATTGCCATTACTACTGATATTATTATTACTAATATTATTATTATTACTATTATTATTATTATTATTATTATTACTATTATTACTATTATTATTATTATTATTATTATTATTATTATTATTATTATTATTATTATTATTATTATTATTATTATTATTATT